CCATAATGTTGGCTCAAAAATTCAGCGTTATCCTTCCTCGTGCCAGGTATCCAAAGTGCTGTCAAATCTTGTTTCTAACTTCACAACATCTCTCATATAGTCCACTTCTATCCATTCTTACAACCACAATTCAAGGTCAGGACCCCATCACTTCTCACCTGAAATACTACAGGAGCCTGGGCTCCTGGATTTAAATTTCTTCCCACTTCAGTTCAGCCTCCACTTAGTTGCTAAGATGATTTTTCATGAGTAATAGGTCTGACCATGTCATTACACCTACACAAATTCCAGTGGCTCCCTATTACCTCTAGGACCAAATTTTAAAAAAAAACACCTGTTTGGTTTCAAAACTCTCCATAACCTGACCCAGTCTTCTCCCACTACTCCCCTCCACACACTCTACAACTATACTGGCCTACTTTCAAGTCCTTCTATCTCCCAACTCCATCTCTCATCTCCATCTTCCTATCTATTCACTGGTTGTCCCCTGGTCAGTTAATAAACATTTATTAAGCACCTACTATGTGCCAGGCACTGAACTAATCACTGGGATACAAAGAAAAGTAAAAAGCCTCTGCTCTCAAGCTCACAGTCGAATGAAGGAGACAAAATGAAAACAACTAGGTACAAAAAGTTATATACAGGACAAATTGGAAATAATCAACAGAAGTAAGGCACTGGACAGTCAGGAAAAGCTTCCTACAAAGGTGGACTTTAACTAGGACTTAAAGGAAACCAGAGAAGCAAGGAAGCAAAAATGAGGAGAGAAAGCATTCTGGGTACAAGGGACAGTCAATGAAAATGCACCAGAGCTGGGAGTTTTAGAAGAACAGTAAAAAAGGCTAGAGTCACTGGATTGAAGAGTAAATAGGGGTACAGGAATGTAGGATGTTAAGAAGACTGGTGGGAGGGCAGGTTCTTAAGGGCTTTGAATGCCAAATAGTAAAAGACATGTCGTAATATAAATATACTTTATATTTTATTCTGGAGGTGATAGGGAGTCTCTGGAATTTGAGTAAGGCAATGTTATGATCAGACCTGCTCTTTGGGAAGACCACTTTTACTACTAAGTGGTCAACTCTGTTTCCTGATTTTCCTTCAAGACTGATCTCAAATCCCACACAAGGCATTTCCCTAACCTCCTGTTTTGAGTTACCTTCCATCTACTCTGTATATAACTAGTTATAGTAAACTAGTAACACTATAGTTAACACTAGCTAGTGTCTTCTTCCACATTAGAATGTACATTCTTTGAAAGTAGGGCAGTTTTTTGCCTTTCTTTGTATCCCTAGGGCTTAGCACACTGCCTGGCACATAGCAAAGACTTAAAATGTTTGTTAACTGACATCACTGAAATACATACAACTGGAATACAATAAAGAGAGTATGGTGGCCTTACTGGACTACAGGACAGCAAAGATACAAGACTTTAACAGACTACTCTGAAGTGCGCTAATAAAATTACAGGAGTTTTCACATTTACACAGGAGAAACTACATTAACTATCTCAAAATAATATCCACAACTGAGGAACATAGTTAACTGTAGACTAATAAGTAGATTGGATGGGACAGAACAAGCACTGGATGGTAAAACCGAGATAATTTTCTTTGTGATAGCTGAAATAGATCTAAGGAGAGTAAAGTCAAAGCAAAGAGTTAATGAAGCTCAAGAAAAGACAGCCTAGATCCAAATTCTGAGGACAACCACTTTCTTCAAACAACAAAAAGTTTATTCTAAGTAAAAGGTTCATTTCCCTGTACTGCACTTTCAACTTTCCTATTATTTATTCTGAGCACTAAAACCTTCCTCTCCCAGTGTAAATAGACAGTAATTAAGATGACTTTATTACTGATTTTTTCAGGTAGTACTCCATTGATCCAGCTTAGTTCTTAATTAAATTGTAAGAACTAAATCAACACTGTTATTCATACAATTTCATGATGGAATGATTGTATACCCCAATTGTCTATAAAAAGGGGGGGGTTAATATTATCCCAACTTTATAAGTTATATAGTACCATTAAATACTTGTCAGTATTTAATATAGTATAAATAATAATATACTATATTGTAGATAATAAGAATAAGAGTCTAAAAATTACTGTTTAGCCAGTCATCCCTTCTTTCTTTGCTACCCCAAATACTTCACTTAAAAAGTAACACTTGGTAAATCCAATTTTCACTTTCTCTTCACTGATATCTGGTAGAGAAGCTAAATAAGAGTAACATGACCAAAAACATAGGCAGAAAAAGCAGCAAGGGACCTGGATAATCTTAAAATGAATAAACTTCTCTGAAGAGCAGTTTCCCATGATTATACTTAGCTTGTCTAAAAGAAAAGAAAAAGAATGATCACAAATTCCCCAAAATTAATGTCTCTCCTTTCCCTCTACCCCAATTATTTGTTTTTTTTTTAATTTCCATAAGTATAGATCACTAGGCAAGAGAGTCATTAGTTGTGAAAATTACAATAAGGCCAAACATACAACCTTTAACCAAGCTTTAACCTAGAACCAACACCAACTTTCTGATATATTCACCATATCAGACTGGTAAAGTACTGTTTGAAATTTATTATTACAGTTCAAATTTTTCATTTTTGTTGAAAAATAAATAGCATTCAGAAATGTTTACACAAAACAACAACAGGCATGTTATATTATTTACTAGAACAAGAATATCTACAATGTTTTACTTTTTAAAATAAGGGGCTTCTAGTAAGCCCGTAACTGGTAAATGTTTCCTTGAAAAGTGCTAGGCAGTTAAAAAATAAGCTGTTACATACACTCTTCCATGGGAAAATAAACAGGTCAAACCCTCAAATTGCTAATGATGCAATCAAATATTAAATGATAAAGTCAGACTAGCTGTATTCAGCTACAAATCAAAATTTTTAATTCCTAATAAGTCTGCCACCTTTTCTTGTGGCCTATTCAAAACATTTAAGTAAAAGGTTTCAAAAAGACGTAACCAAAATGTATCAAATTAAGCCAAGATGGTTGCAACTTGTTAAAACTAGAAAATTTGAAAGGATGATTGAAAAAATACACAATATTTTGTGGCTCCTTGGTGACAAGTTCTATTTAAACATGCAAAAGAAATGATGAGCTTGACCTACAAACTGAAGGAAGGGTCAACTGTAACCAAAAAAACAATGTGCTTCCCCTGGTGGCTGACTAAGGAATAGAGTCATGTGTAAGAATGGCAGGGGGAGGGGGGTCCAGCAGGCTAGCTTCCTAAGTCTGCTCTGTCATTCAAACAAATGAGAAGTTACTATAAAAATGGGAGGGGTACATTCAAAATTCACATAATAAAAAATTATTACAAAGTAACATGGAGGCTGGTTTTTTTCTAAGCACAAGCCTTTATGTACTGACAGTATACCTACACAGTTTTAAAGGTTTGTTTTCACTTAAAATAGAAATTATCAAAATTACAAAGAAAGGTAAAATTGCAAGAAAAAAAGCTCATGTCCAAAGTATAGGGGAGCAGGACAAAGTCATCTCCACTTAGTAACTTCAAATATCAAATCACAACAGATATCTAGAACCTTCACTAGTGGAGTAAGAGTTGTACCTATTTCAATGACTGGTCCTATCCTATCAATTTTCTGTTCATATGCTGTGGAAAAGAGGTTATGCATTATTCAAAGAAGTTTGAGCCATACAAATGAAGCAACTCCAAGTCTAAAAACCTTAGCCAGTAAGAGTGCTTCACTTAAGGATCAAGTTTTAAAATGTTATTTTTTTTTCAAATTAAACTTCTTCCTTTTAAGAATTCTATACACCAACATGTCAAGTAAACTGACAAGCTGAGATCCCAAGCATTAAAATCTAACTAAAATTCTTTTGTCTCCATGTAGATTTGTTACTATACCACTTTAAATTATCTTGGACATAACAGCAAGCAGGATATGGTTTCAAAAATGTTCTGTTCTTGTTTCTGGGGGATGAATTTGGGGCTGGTTGTTTTTAGATTAATCTGTTCTTTAAGATGAGATTTTTGATTATTTTATTTTCATAACTTCTCCTCCACTGCCCCCCACTACCTTCACTACCACCCCCAAAGAAAAAAAAATATTTACAAAGAAGTCTCAAAAAAAAAAAGCAAAATGCCACATGAGAGCCTCTCCTGGCTAAATAAGCTTTTCTTCTGCTTTTTCCCTGCAAAGCGCCCTCTGGAAAACCCACTTCTCTTATAAACTGAAACAATATGTATTTTGTCCTTATTCCATCCATCCTTGACATTTCAAAATCAAGGATAAGGAGGGAAGCAATGGCTCAGGAGGCCAGAAAGGAAGAAAAGGGAATCTTGAGTAATAATTGATTGTGTAGGGTTGTCTATTCTATGTGGTCAGTGAAATTTCATTAAGTCCATTTAGCTTGCTAGATGCTACTTCACCACTACCATAATCACAGTGAATGTGAAACTAACCACACCTGAGCCAGAATGGAGTCAATACAATTGCTCCCACTACTACATCCCCGCTATCAATACATTCTCAGCTCTCCGGAGGATAATCATAAGTTACACTGGTATTTCGTGAAGGAGAAATCATCTTTTTTTATAAGTCTAGAGGCACGTTGGCAGAACACGTTCCCCCTCCCCCCCCCTTGCTGTTCTTCCCTTGGACAGCAGGGCGAACACACACAAAAAGAAAGTTGTTGATTTGATCTCCACTCCCTGCCCAAATCCCCTCATACTCCTTAAAATCCACATGACCCTACGTTTTCCTGTAAGATTTTCTCCCCAAGAAATGAAAAGGGTGGGGTGCCTGTCCCTCAATTATAACCCCCACCTGGAAGACTTGTGTGCAACAACCAAGGACATACACACCAGCAAAGTCCCCCCCCAGCACCGTCTCTAACCAGTTTGAGGCTACTACCCTACCCCATCCGTCTCAAGCTCTAGATACCATCCTCTGCCACCCCAAGCAAGGGCAGCTGCCACCCTACGCCTGGAGGACCACCCCCCACCCCCAAGGGTGCCAAACTCACCAGGATCAAAATCGGGGACCACTGCCTGGTACTGGGGTCCGACTCTCATGCCACCTCCTCCTGCGAATAAAGGGGAGAGCGGGAGGGAGTGAGCGAGGGCTCCGGGCAGAGTTTGGAAGCTGGGCAGGAGGGAACGCCGGGGACGCCGGGGCGGAAGGGGAGGGGGAGGGGGAGGCAGGGTGGCAGGGTAGCCTCGGCTCGAGTTTGAGGCTATCACCTACCATGCTCTTCATCACTCGAGGAGCCCGAGCTCGCTTCCTCCCAGGAGTTGGTGCTATTTCCATTGGGCGCCGCGGCGGCGGCCGCTGCCAAACTTTTATTATGGCCATTATTGGCGGAGCCGGCGGCGGCCGAGGCGGAGGCTGCAGCGGAGGAGGCAGAGGCGGCCGAGGCCGAGGCGGAGGCTGAGGCTGAGGCGGCGGCAGCGGCTGCTGCGGAGGAGGAGGAGGAGGAAGAGGAGGAGGAGGCAGCGGTGGCGGCGGCGGCGTTGGCGGCGGCGGCCGAGGAGGCAGCGGCATTATTCCTCCCCCTCCTCTTCCCTAGCACCTCCGGGCCCTTCTCCACCATGGCTGGCATCGGAGGGGACGGCGGGGCGCGGGGAGGGGGGAGCAAAGTGGGGCTGAGGGGCGAGGCGGAGGGGAGGCTCGCCGCGAGGGCGCGGGGATGGGGGGCGCGCCCGCCGCCCGCCGAGGGGACCGGGGGCCCGGGGCTCCGGGGGGCGACAGTTAGAACCGGGGCTGCCCGAAGGGAGAAAGGGCTGAGGGAGAGACTTGTGACGGCTGCCGGCGACGCGGAGCCGCTTCAACGCCCCAGCTCGAAGCCAAGCGCAACTTTCGCTCTCATCGCCGCCAGCCCGCACTTCACTGGCTCAACTACTCTGGGAGCAGGGAGTCGAGGGGGAGGGGGGAAGAGAGAGGGCAGGGGAGGGGAGGAGGAGCAGAGAGGGAGCTCAGCCTAACCCAGCCGGCCAGAGGAAGGCCCCGCCCCGCTCCCGGCCTCTCATTGGTCCCTCCGGGATTTTGGAAGCGCCATGATCACTTCGGTTGGCTGGGACGCCCCGTCCGTCAAAGGGAAGCTGGGTGCGGAAGGGAGGGGGAAGGAGGAGGGGGCGGGCCAGGCGCTTCCGTTGCTCGAGTTCGGTTGACGCGTATAGTCCGCTGTACGTGGTTGAGGGTTTGCAATCTCTCTACGCCCCATGATCCCTCTCTCTAGTCTAGGCAATGGAAAGGACTTAGGCTATCTCCCCCCAACCGCCCTTCCCGATAACACCCACCAACCAACACCCTCTTCTGGCTTCCCCCAAGGATCCCACCAAAGGGCTAAACAGCTTGTTTTCTTCTATATGTAAAAAAAAAAAAAGCTGTTAATGCCGGACTACTTTTTCTCCTCCCCCTTTCAGCGGAAGGTTACATCACAGTTTGAATGGAGTCCATACAAAGAAGAGAAACTAATTGGAAGAAACTAATTGCGCCAATCTCCCTCCTTCCACCTCTATATCTTCTCCAAGCATTGGGGAGGTGGAGAACCAGAGGGAGCAGTTCTTCTGAGGTTGGGTCTATTCCCAAAACAGTATACAAAGTCCCCCCCTTGGGTGAAAAAGAGAAAGTGGGAGTTGAGGGGGGGGTAGTCATCTGAATTGCTGGAGTTGCCCAAATTATTGTGTGTGCTGCGGCCAGAGGGAAAGAGGAGGAGGAGGAGCTTCCTGCTGCGGAGGGCCATCTCCCCTCTCCCTGTTCTTCCTCTGGGCCGAACCCCGCCTCCAAAGGGAGCAGGCGAGGTCCCAGCCACTTTGCGATGTTGGACCTTAGACAGCTGGAAGATTTTTATTCCCTGTTTGAACGACAGTAGCTTCGTGGGGGCATAATGTGTACATCTCTCTCGCACATTCACCCTCCCGGGTCTGGAGTTGCAGAGTTTCCAGTCAAATTGCCTCTTTGTAGCTAGGTGCGGGCTGGTCAGTGTCTTGATACTGTAAATTCCGCTGGGACTGCACCTTATCACAGATTGCATCCTTCCAAACTGTCCCTCATTCTCTGCCTGCATTTCCTCTGTCCCTATCTCCTGCCCTAAGCCAGAAAGAGCTAGGGCAGGGCTGGGGATGGAAGAGGAGAGCTGCTGATAAAAAGTGGTAGTGCTGCTGGGTTTGGGGGTTGAATCTTCCTCCTCACTTGTCCACCTTCCCCCACCACTAATTCTCAGGTATTTAATTTCTCGAATGTAATTGGAAGACAAATGCTCAGAGAGAGTTGCACTTCATGAAAATGGCCAGGATGTTGGAGAAAAAGGATAAAGAAAAAAATACTGACACCCAAATCCCTTTGTTATGTGGGTCAACTTCCAAAGACAAAGTCCACTTTTCAGTACTGAAATCGCCTCAACCTTCTAAAAAAAATTAGTCCACTGGTTTCTAAACCTTTGGATCTCCTAGGAAGAACTTGCCTTTTCAAATACCTGGAATTAGTATTTCGTTGCTTTTGCTTTATCCCCTCTGGCTCAATCTAGAGCTGAAGAAATTCATGTGAATGGCTGAACAGTGATGTGAGAAATTCACAAGTTCAAAGACTTAAAGGGACAAAACCCACCCGGGTTGTTTTGAGGTCTGAAAATACATCGGGTGACTATCTAGAAAATATTGTTTGGCCAAAAATCAAATGTTTTCAAAATAAAATATTGTTAATGGATAATTGGGGAGAGTTTTCAATAATTAATTTTTTTTAAATTAGAAAAATAATACCCTTTCAAACCAAAGCTTAATATGTGTAGGATTTACACCAGTTCAGGGATATAAATAACTATAGAAAAATGTTGAATTTCATGGTTTTTATAGACTAAATAATCAGATATTTAAATTCAGTTTTTAATACTACATGAACATTCATTATTAACTTCGTTGAACTAACCACATTCACTTCTGCTTAAATGATCTGACAGTATAAGTGGTACTCATTTTAGGAATACTTGCTCCATGAATTTTGTATTCATTGTTAATAGAGTAAGAATTATACAATTGTCTTAAAGAATGTTGCAGACTATTCAGGTCAGAGAACTGTTTTCACAAAGGTCACCAAATATTTACAGTAGTATTTAAACGTTTTTCAAACTTGATAAAATATCTCAATTTTTCTGCTATTTTTTAGAGAGGCACCTACAGTGATGGGGGAAATTGCTCGATTTGGAGTCAGAGGACCTAGATTTCCATTCTGGCTCTAGTTTCTGTGGTTTTCAGTGTTCTCGTACCCAAAATGAAGAAGTTGGACTAGATAGTCTTTTAGGTCCTTTCCAGCTCTAAATCCTATGATCCCAAGTGACTTTATAGTAAAAATGACCTTTCCATTTACCTTTCTGTAACTCATCTGTAAAGTGAGTACTTTATGTAGGGATAAGCTTATAAAGCATTTTTCACTTACTCCTTTTTCTCAGATTTCATTATAAATTTAACAGCTATTTAAAAATAATTAAATCTGGGGATGGGGTATTGATCAACTCACATCAAATTTCAAATTTCGTGAGTTTGCCACGAAGTGAGCTTTTGACTGACCTTACTTCCCCCCCCCCCCAAAGTCTGGATATGGCCATTGGCCCTTTAAGAGGTCAAAAAAGCAAACAAAACCCATTTAAGGCTTTGTGACTAGGCTGTCCTAAGAATCATTTATTTGGAGTCACTATCCTAGGGGATGGGCTTTCAGTAACTAGAAGCTGCCCCCAAGATGAACTGGTTAATTCAGAATCATAGAGATTTCTTGTAGGAGAAACCAACCATTTCCATTGGCTTATAAAAGAAATCCTCATTAAGGAATCTGGGTTTTTTCACCTTTTTTCAGGAGAGACTGTAGGAGTGCCTACAGTGTCTGCCTCAAAGACACACGTGGAAGTTGGATGTGCTCACCACTTAAGTCCACATGATGGAAAAGGAGAGTTTCTGCTTGCCTTTTGCCTTTTTTCCTTTCTGAGCACAAGTTAGAAACCAAAGACTTGACCATGGATTTCCCTGGGCCAAATGATGGAAAGAGCCAGGGAAGTGGTAGAGTATCATAGAAACACAGATGTGTGCTTGCCCACATGCCTTGAGAATGGAGTTGAGGACTCTGATCAATGCAATGACAAGCTACTTTTCCAAAATACAGATGATGAAGCATGCTACTACTTATCACCTGATAGAGGTAATGGACTCAAGGTATGCATTTTGGACACAAACAATATAGAAATTTGTTTTGCTTAACCATGCATTGTGAGGATTTTGCATTCTTGGTTCCCCCCCCACACAATATGAGTGTTGGGGGAGGGGGAAGATGGGAAGGTAAAGGGGAGAATGGTGATAGGACTGCTAAAAACAAAAAAGAGGATGATTGAAGATTTTTTTAAATGATAAGAGGCTAGGTTTGCAAAGCACTTTACATAGGTTAACTCATTTGATCCCAACAACAATCCTATGAGGTAGGTGTCATTATTATCCTCATTTTATGGAATAGAACAGAAGGGAGGAGAAAGGAAAACACAAACGGGACAGCTTTGAAGGATATAAGATGAATTTATTATATGCTTAAAAGACAAGCAATATATAATATATTCTCAGTTTAATGTAGAATCCTCTTTTTATTATCTACTTTGTATATGAAAACGATCCCTTGGTTTGGTGCTTTAATTCAGAATTAAAAAAAACCTTAAAAACAAGAAAAGGGAGTTCAAAGACATTTTCATTCCCAAACATTTGCCTCCAAGTAGAGAAAGGACAGCAATGAAGGGGAATGCCAGCCTTGAAAATGGCCTTGCAAGTAATCCCAAATTTGATAGTTTAGGCTTCTGGCCAAGGAAGGGGAATTACCTGAATAGTGTGCCTCTAAGAGAAAGAAGAGGATTGCCCATATGACTCCCAAAGATGAAAAAGTGATCAAAGATCAAAGTTATAACAGAAAAGATCAAAAAAAGTCCTTGACTTTGTTCTCTGCTATTACCTTGAGTTATTCAGAGAGAGAGCAAGTCCATTAGGGAAGGGGTTACCCTGTCTAGCAGCCTCTAAGTGTGTTTCCTTTCTAGGGGACAAAAGTCTTCAGAAGAAGGTCTCTGAGGAATACAAAAGGCTGGACCCAATGGAGAACTTAGAGAATTGTATTGATTGCTTACAGACTCCTTCAAGTTTTCTGCCTTTTGTACATTTTCTCTGAGAGTGAAATAAATGTTGTCCTATGCCTAATATGGTTGAAACTTTAAGCTGTGGATACTATTACTCCATGTTTGTAGAGATCTAGACTCAGGTACTTAGTGATTTTCTCAGAGCTCTATACAATGGTCCTACAAAGGGATGTCCTTTATTTGTTGTTGTTGCAATGACCATAGAATCATAGACCTAGAGATGAAAAGAACAACTTCGGTTTGCCTTGGAGGCAGCTGGTTAACTCAGTGGATAGAGCACTGGGCCTGGAGTCAGGAAGATCTGAGTTCAAATCCAACCTCAGACATTTACCAGCTGTGTGACTCTGGGTAAATCACTTACTCTCTGTTCGCCTTAATCCACTGGAGAAGGAAATGGCAAACCATTCCAGTATCTTTGCCAAGAAAATCTCATGGACAATATGGTCCATGGGGTCACAAAGAGTTGGATACAACTGAACAACAACAATTAGTGTGATATGCAGGTAATAATAAGCCATTTATTGT